GATAGTAGTAGATCAGTATGGGTGGTAGGCTTTTGTTTTATTGCTGAGTTTTAACATTAAAGGTGCTTTTTGGGTAACACCCTTTTTTCTTCCTGCGTTTTTCAAAATTAACAGAAAATTATGACTCGTATAACAAGTTACCTATAAATTCAGTAAGTTATTTTTCTTGTTTGAATTTGAAGTCATGGTTATACTGTGAAGAAACCAGATAGAATATGGACTTGTGTAAATCTATTTTCATTACCATAAAATTGTTGGTAAGTTGCATGATTAACTGATGACAGAACATTACATTATTGTATATGAAAGTTAATTTTCTTTTGAAGTATCACAAAAATCATATTTTGGGTATAGACTTGCTATGAGCTTTTTCTTTTCTTTCTTTCCTTCCCTCCATTTTCCCTCCCGGAATTGAACCCAGGGGCACTCAACCACTGAGTCACATCTCCAAACCTTTTTGTATTTTATTAGAGACAGGGTCTTGCTGAGTTACTTAGGGCCTTGCTAAATTGCTAAACTCTGGGTTTGAACTTGCAATCTTCCTGTCTCAGCCTTCCATTGGGATTATAGGCATGCACCACTGCTCCCAGTGAAGCTTTTTCTTTTAATCCCCATGTTAGGGGAATGGTGTGGGGAGATTCTTGCTTTCCCTATTCTATTTATCTTTGTGAGTTACTTCATTTTAAAATTTCTTTCTGGTAAGTATTGTAAAATGTTGTGTTTATTATTTGGTGCTGGGGATTGAATCCAGGGCATTGTGCATACTAAGCGTGTGCTCTACCACTGAGCTATATCTCCAGCCCCAAAACTGTAGAGTTTTGGGAGAGAGGAAAACAAACAAACAAACAAACAAACAAAAACTTGTGGTCAATCAACAATGTTAAATGAAAGTTATTTATTTCTTTAGAACTAAGTTTAGCTGGGCATGGTGATACTCGCCTATATTCTTAGCAGTTTGGGAGACTAAGGCAGGAGGATAGCAAGTTCAAAGTCAGCTTCAGCAATGTAGCAAAACCTTGTCTCAAAATAAAAAATAAAAAGGGCTGTGGATGTGATTCAGTGATTAAGCACCCCTGGGTACAATCAAAAACAAAACCAAAAACTGATTTTAAGGAAACAATTAAATATTTCCACATAATTTATCTGAAATACCTGATGGCAGACACTATGTTTTATTACTTAAAAAACAAACAAACAAACTGTACTTGTTACAATATGGATATACCGTGTTCATTATTGTTATTAAGAACCTGGTACTATTTCTGGGTAAGAAAAAACTGATGTATTTAATAAATTGGAGGCATAATAATGGAGTGGTTAAAAGAATACTGCTACCTGTGTTGGAGTACTTGGAATTAGACTTACCTTCTTTCAGGAATAACTATAATAACTGGAGTAGTGGAAATCTCCCTGTTTAAAAACATGAATGAA